ATAAACTCAGTATCTCAAGCACAAAATTTGGGGGTCCAACCAGTATGTTCATCAAGAACACTTGTTTCTTCATCAGACTATCTAGTTTTTCTTCATCCTAGGTGGATGAATGAAGCTATAAATGTGAATGATTAAGGCAGCCTTAATAACCTTGATATCAACTAAGGAATAACCTCTTCAAAGTTGGAGGAATGCTAGTGGATGTTCACTTTTTAAACATTTTTAAAAGAGTTTGCTCTTCTGTATGTTTATTTATTCTTTGGATCCATAAAAAGAGCTTTCTCAAACTTTTAAAATTGTAACAAGGGAATTTTTTTTGTCTTTTTTGAGACAGGGTCTCCTTGTAGCCCCAGCTGTCCTGGAACTCACTATGTAGACCAGGCTGGCCTCGAACTCACAAAGATCCATCTGCCTCTGCCTCCCAAGTGGCTGGGATTAAAGGCGTGTGCCACCATGCCCGGCTACAGGAATTTTTTTTTTTAGAAATAAAGTTTTGTATTTATCTGAAAAGATATTTATTATTTTATGTGTATGTCTGTACAGGTGTCTGCAAGGCCAGAAGAAGGGTCAGACCCCTGGAACTGGAGTTACAGCTGGTAGTGAACAGCTTGATGTGGGTGCTGCAAATTGAATCCTGGTCCTGCTAAGCCATCTCTCCAGTCCTTCTTTCTTTTTCTTAGTAAAGTGTCACTATCTCTATTTCATTTATCTCTCCCTCTTCTTTCTTTCTTTCTTTCTTTCTTTCTTTCTTTCTTTCTTTCTTTCTTTCTTTCTTTCTTTCTTTCTTTCTTTCTTTCTTTCTTTCTTTCTTTCTTTCTTTCTTTCTTTCTTTCTTTCTTTCTTTCTTTCTTTCTTTCTTTCTTTCTTTCTTTCTTTCTTTCTTTCTTTCTTTCTTTCTTTCTTTCTTTCTTTCTTTCTTCTTTTTTGTAGTCAGAACTGGCCTGGAACTCTATGTAGAGCAGGTTGGCCTTGATCTCACAAATCTATGCCTGCCTCTGCCTCCCCAGTGCTGGGATTAAAGGCATGCACCACCACGCTTGGCATTATCTCTATTTCTGGTGCCCCTGAGACTCATATCTACCCTTATGATACATCTATAAGTACATATGCTGCACACAGAGACACACACATACAACCCACAACACACACACCACCACATACACCACACCACATACAACACACATATTACATACACACACCACATTCATACACAACACATACTACACATACACCACACCATACATACACATACCACACACATATGCACACACACCAGACACACAGCACACTGAACACACACATACACATACCACCCCCCCACTACAACCATACACCACACCCCCACACCCCATACCATACTCCCACACCCCAAACCATACCCACACCACACCCACACCATACCCACATATCACACCCATATATCACACTACACCCACACACCACATCCACACATCACACACATATACTACACACATAAACATGCACACACACGCCTCAAACTCCTTTTTGCCACACTCTTTCTGCTTGTTGTTCCATGCCTCACTGTCCTGTGAAAACACTCATTGGACAAGCTATCTACATGGCTGTGGGTACTTCCTCCCTGAAGAAGCTGTCTACACCAGCTTTAAGTATGATACAATGACTCATACCCTTTTGTCCCTCTAATTAAGCTGTTTCCTGCTCTTCTGTGACACCTGCTTTATGGAGCTGACCGACACTCTGCTTTCCTCTCTCATGACTGTGTTGGTCCATATCTCTCTGGCTTAGGGACACAAGACTTCTTGACTTAGGGACTCTGCTGTGTGTTTCTCCTGGCTTACTGGATGCTTGGATTTTGTCTTTAGTTCATTTGGATTGTTTGTGTTTAGGTCATTGATAACAGTGTCAGACAGGTTGACAGAGAAGAAAATATAATCAAACAAGCTATGTGTAGGGTGCAGTGAAACCTCAAGATGACACTAGTGTGTTGCCTCCCTTGGCTACAGAAACTGAAGGAAGAAGCAGGAGACAGAAGTGGAGAAAGAACTCAAGAGTTAGAGCCGCCTGATGGACCAGCCCTTGGTGACCCTGTAAGAGGAAATGAGAGAGAGGAGAGAGGAGAGAGGAGAGAGGAGAGAGGAGAGGAGAGGAGAGAGAGGAGAGAGAGGGAGAGAGAGAGAGAGAGAGAGAGAGAGAGAGAGAGAGAGAGAATATATCCTGACTTTACCCTTTTAAGCACCCCTTCAGCTGCCTGCTGGTGCCCTGCAGTGAGGCAGGGCAGTATGATGGGGAGAAGGGGGTTGGGAGCAGGTATGAGGTGCAATCCCTGCCTGTGGCCTGCCATCTGGGCCTCCTTTGACATATGTGCCAAACATCCTGTGACAAACAAACTCTTCCCTGTCTCACTAAAAAGAACACCCACCCACATAGTCACTCAGGCCAAAAGCCAAGAGCCTCAATTTCCTTTCCTTTCACCAGCATATCCAACACATCCAGGGTTCAGTTTGCTCTGGCATAGTCACAGCTTTTTACCTGTTATCTAAACCATTTGGTGTTGGTGGCAATCAAAATCACTGACTGGCCTCCCTTTTTCTTTCTGTAATAGGCCAGTTGGCAGTCCCCCACCTCTGCAGCCTTCTCTCCTACTGTCCAGAGAAAGGAACCCACTTTGATTTTGTTTGCGGTAGTTATGTGCCAGCTCAGAGGATGACGGCTGTTCTGTTTGTTTATTGCTGTTGGAGAGTTTAATTGAGAAAGTGAGAGCTCTCAACGCTGTGACCAAAGATTGTAGTTCTCTGCAGGATACCAGCTACGTGGTGTTGTGCTTTCCTAGGGAATATGAAATTGGTGATTTGGGAAAGTAAATAAATGTGGGGCTGGGATATAGCTCAATTGTTAAGAGTGCTTGCTGCTCTTCTGGAGGACCAGAGTTGGTTCTGTTCCCAGTATCCACACTGGATGGCTTACAACCACCTGTGGCTATTGTTCCATACCCTCATTCACATGTACATACCCACACATAGACACACATACACATATTTAAAAATAACAAAAGTAATTCTTTTTAAAAGTTAATGTTTCAAGGTGAAAAAAAAGAGAAGTTTAAGAGTTCCGAGAAAACCTTTTTTTAATTAATTATAAAAGGATATAACAAATGATTTTTTTTTGTCTTTTTGAGACAGGGCCTCCCTGTAGTCCCAGTTGACCTGAACTCACTATGTAGACCAGGCTGGCCTTGAACTCACAAGGGTCTGCCTGCCTCTGCCTCCCAAGTGCTGGGATTAAAGGCGTGTGCCACCACACCCGGCAACAAATGATTTTTAAAAATAGGTGTCTTGGGGCTGGAGAGATGGTTCAGCAGTTAAAAGCACTGGCTGTTCTTGCAGAAGACCTGGGTTCGAATCCCAGAACCCACATGGCAGCTAACAACCGTCCATAGCTCCAGTTTCAGGGGATCCAATGTCCTCTTTCTGTCCTCTGCTGGCACTGCATGACATGGGTGCACGTACATGCAGGCATAACACTCATACACATAAGATAAATAAAAAATTTAAAAAATAGTTTTTTTCAAAAAATGCCTTTCCTTCCTTCCTCTTTAAGATGGTGGTGTAAAGATGTGATGCCTTGTGCTATGGCAGCTCCTTGGACCACAGGGCAACAAGCATGAAGACAAAAAGAGTATGTAGTGATCATGGAAAAGAGGGAGATGGAAAGACTGTGGTCATAAAACAGACTTTTATGACATTAATGAAGTTAGAACTTTTATAAGCTGTTGGAGCTGGAGAGACGGCACAGCGGTCAGAGCACTGGTTGCTCTTGCAGAGGACCTGGGTTTGATTCCCATTACCCACATGGTGGCTAACAGCTGTCTGCAGCTCCAGTGCCAGGGGATCCTACACTCTTTTCTGGTCTCCTGGGGTACTGAACGACAAGGGTGCACTTACCTACATGCAGGCATTACATTCATTACATTAAAAAAATTAAAAAAAACTGTTATAAGCTGCTTCTTGCCTTTGTCTCCTAAGTGGCCCACATGTTGGTTTTCTGCAGTTTATGTTCTTTGTGCAGCCAGAGGGATCCTTTGGAATAGGTCAGATGCCAACATGGAGAGCATGCCACCTTTCACAGTGAACTGCCCTACCTGTGTCCTCTGCTGGCTTTGGTTTGCATGCCTAACCTCTTGACAGCACTCAGTCCACTCCAAAATCTGTCCTTTCCTGACCCTGGAGCATCTGTGGATCAGTTTCTTTCACTGGGAAGAACAACTTAAAGGAAGAAGGGTGTATTTTGACTCACAGTTTCAGAGATTTCAGGCCATAAGTACTTTGACCCCATTGCTATGGACATGTGGGGGACACAGAGCATCATGGCAAGAAAGACCTGTAATAGAGAGGAGGGAGGGAGTTAGGGAAGGGGGAAGAGAAAGGAAGTGACAGAGAAGAGCGAGGGGAAGGGGCTGCAAACACCATACAGTCCCCAGAAGCATGCCCTTTAAGGACCCACTTACTTCAGCTAGGTCCCACGTCTAAAGTTCCCACTACCTCCCAACAGCCCAAAATTTATGAAGCCATCAATGGATTGATCCAGCCACATCCCAAAGGCTCTGCCTCTGAACACTGCTTCATTGGGAACTTAAGCCTTCAACACATCTTTGGGGCAACATGTCAGCTCCCAGCCACAGCAAGGCAGAGAGGCCTCCTCCACATTCCTCTCCTCACAGCACTGTGGCTGCCTTTGTGTCCTACAAGGGTGATGAAGACTCTTCTCTGTCACTCGGTGTGATTTGGGAAGGGATTAATTAGGATGCTGTAAGAACCCACAAGCTGTCGTGCGCGCTCACAGTGCCTAGTACCTAGTAGGTGTTATGTATTTTATGTATGTTATGTTATTTTCTACCTTTGGTAGAAAAATGTCAGTTTGGTGAAGGTGGAGCCTGGGCGTGGCAAACAGGTGCTCAAGTGAAGGATGCAGGTTGATGGATGGTGCACCACGCAGTTTCTGTCTAAACGGTTACGGAGTGAATGGTGGAACAAGGAATGTCTGAACTGGGATCTTAGAGCTGCCCAAAGTCGGTTACACGAACGACGGCTGAGCAGCCCCATGACAGTGTCCACCGTGACCCTCAGAGACTAAGGGTTTCAAAGCAGCGACTGTTAGGATACCAAAGACGTGGAGAGACGACGCGAGCCCCAGCCTCCCTCTGCAAGGCGAGAGGGAGGGGTCGACGACGCGGCCCCGGAGGAACCGGGTGTGGATGCCAGTGGGGCCCGAGACTCGACGTCCGGACGCGGGCGACACCTCCCTGGGGAGGAAGGCGTGTCTGGCTGCGAGGAGCCCGAAGGCACCCGGGGCAGCTTAGGGTGGCTAGCTGCGGAGCTCGAGGCGGGCTGGGCACCGGGCGGCGCCGGGGCGCAGAGGCTCAAGAGCCGGGCTCACGCAGCGCTGCGCTCCCCGAGGGCTCGCGCTGGATCGGGCGGGGGCGGCCGCGGAGGCAGGTCCTGCGGGCCCGGGGGGCGGGTCCACCGCGGATTGGTCGGAAGCTGCCGCGTGACCAGCCCCTTATAGGGCGTGGCGCTGAGCAGCTGCTGGGGTGCGGCGGCGGCGGCTACCAGGCGAGGTTCTGGCAGCGGGCTCACGCAGCGCTGCGCTCCCCGAGGGCTCGCGCTGGATCGGGCGGGGGCGGCCGCGGAGGCAGGTCCTGCGGGCCCGGGGGGCGGGTCCACCGCGGATTGGTCGGAAGCTGCCGCGTGACCAGCCCCTTATAGGGCGTGGCGCTGAGCAGCTGCTGGGGTGCGGCGGCGGCGGCTACCAGGCGAGGTTCTGGCAGCGCGGGCGGCTGGCGGCGGCTCGGCTCGGGGCCCCCTGGC